AAAAAAAAAAAAAAAAAAAAAAAAAAAAAAAAAAGAAGACAAAAAAAAAGGAACAAGATTGTAAAAAGAAAACGAGATAAACGAAGAAATCGCATGCACACGCGCTCGCGCGCGCGCGAGAGAGAGAGAGAGAGAGTGGCACGGCGAGCTGCGCGGAGTGTGGGACTGCGTGGCGGCAAGTGCAGTTTCGAACTGCAGTTCTGTATGGGCCAAGATGCAGTTTCGAATTGCAGTTCTGGTAATGTATACAACCCAGCTTTCTGTCCAGGTAGGGTGCCCTAAGTGTAATTGCAAACTGTATGTTGCCCCATACTGCGATGATAACTCGTTTTTGTGACTGTACTGAAGTTACCCCTTGAAAAAAAAAGGTTGGGAAGTTCTATAACCCCCCTGCGATGAAACCTTTGTATCCATTTTCCAAAAAAAAAAAAAAAAAAACAAAAAAAAACCTTTGTATCCATTTCCCCCCAAACGGGGCAAAAGGTGTCGCAGGCCCCACAAAGACCTTTCGGGTCATTTTTGCACCCCAGCTGGGCCGATAACGCGGGCTGTGCAAAAATGGCAGGGAAGTGTGAAAATGGAGGGTGGCGGGAAAGTGTGAAAATGGCGAGGAAGTGTTTTACAGGGTGCAAAAAATGATGCCAGAGGCCCAGAAGTCATTTTGGGGCCTGCAGCTCTTTTTTCCGTTGCGGGGGTTTATAACTTTTTCCCAAAAAGAACAGTAGAGCACAAACAATGGATTCGACATTCGGCACAATCCACAAACCCGATCAGGGGTACGATGCAAATTTACACACCCGCCTGAGAATGCAAGGGGCTCTCCAGTGTACCTACATGTTTTAGGGGTATTTTTAACATTTACTTCAACTCTCAGGGACATTTTTCAGATTCTTCCGAAAAGAAATGGAAAAAGTTAACATGCCCCTCGCAACCAACCTTTGCATTTGTTTCCCCCCAACCGGGCAGAAAGCGTTGGAGGCCCAAAAAAAAACAAAAAAAAAACGAAAGTGTTGGAGGCCCTATAATGAACTTTTTTTTTTGAGAAAACTACGGCGCAGTCAGGGTTTGAGTTTGTAATTGCACTTGAGGCAAAAGGGCCGGTAATGCTGAATGTATATGACCCACGTTTCGGGTCCGGTGGGGTCGCGTAAGGGTGTGTTGTATTCACCGGATTGCCTGACGTGCAATTACAAACTGCTTTTTTTTTTTTTTTTTTTTTCACATAACGAACTTTGCTTCCCCGCCACGTGCTGAACACACGACTATTGCAATCAGACTCACTTTCTTCTTCACTTCGCAACATGCAAACAGATGGTAATTCACACTGGCGCTGTGCGCCCACACAAAGCTCAGAGATAATCAAGCCGCGAACACAGTTCAGATACAAACTCTCTTCCAATCAGCTATGGCGCCTGAGCGCCCTCACATCCTCTGTTGCCACTGTGTTCAACCAACTGTTCACGTGCACTCGACTCAGGATCTCCCTGGATATCCCACGCACACAACTCAGTATACGACACACACACACACACACAGTTGTCTATCACTAAGCTATGGCGGCTATGGCCGCTCTACAACCGCTGGCTATGGACGAACTATCTTCCTTCAGCCCACTTCGACTTCGGGCATCTGCAGACCACCTTGCACAAGTCGCCTGGCCGCGCTTCCACATGGCTTACGCAGGAATGAATGAATCCTCTGGACGCTGCCTCTTGATTTATACTTCTGTAAGTCGCTAGTCTGTCCTTTTCCACCGGGCCCATGGTGCACACAGTCCCTCATGGTACTTGCTGACTATACAAAGTGAGACTTGGACTGGGTACCGCAGCTGACTCAGCCAAGTTGGACTCATGTACCTTCCTGGGCATGCTAGGCGCCCGCCACCTAGAGATAGACCACTG